TTTCTCTCTCTATAACTCTGCTCTCTCTCTCTCTCTCTCTCTCTCTCTCACACACACACAAATACTCTCTCTCTCTCTCTCGTTATCTGTTTCTTTCTGTCTTTTTCTTTCTCTCTCTCTTCTTTCTTTACCCGTCCCGCTCCTCTCTGCCACCCCCTCCCCCCTCTTTTTCTCTCTCCCTGTCTCTCTCTCTCTCTGTCTCTCTCTCTCTCTCTCTCTCTCTCTCTCTCTCTCTCTCTCTCTCTCTCTCTCTCTCTCTCGTTTACCCATCGTAACACCCCCCCCCAACTCCAATCTTTCTGGCAACTCTCCAAAAAAGCCAGTTAACCAACAAACACGCAGCGACAGACAAGAATAAACTGAAGACCAAAACAGATCCACAGGAAACGATACCCGTGATTATCATAATTATCTCGGTTATTGTTATTGCTGTTGTTGTTTTGTTTGTTACAGTCTCTATTTTTGGGGTATTTGCACGAAGTCCTTTGTTGACCTCGTCTTCTGTTATCAGCACGTCTATCTTTCTTATTTTTCTTTGAATTCAATGACTGTTACGAGTGGGCGGTTCGAGGACGCCACTGTTAGATCCTACCTACTCGTACTTCTCTTTCCTTTCCTCTTTTGTTTCTGCCTGTCTATCCTGCTTTTTCCCATGCACTCAGTGACCGTTACGGTAATACTGAGTCGATGTACTTTTCTTTGCTCAAATAATAGTTACCTGTATTTGTGGTGTAGCGGTTGGGAGCTTGGCGTGGGTGGTTGGCGAGTGCTCTGGTCTTTATTACTCCTTCTTTCCTATCAAACATCTATCGTCTTTATCTCCTTTCTTTTATGGTGTTTGTTACTCTCTTGTAACACCTCTAATCTTCTGGCGCCCATATGACCTAATGCAGTTGCGAGCGCCTTAAAACCTCTACTAAAACTAACTCTAATCCTCGGCTCTTATAATATGGCCTTATTGTGTTGCATGTGCCGTAAAACTCATATTAAAACTGAAAAGGAGCTTGGCTGTTACATGCACTAGACCTGGGTTCTATTCCGGAGTTTTGGAGAATTTGTTTTGACTATCTCGGTCTTTCTGCTGTTGTATGCCCCTCAGCCCGGGCTTGCCCTGACAGGCAGTGTCGAAAACTCGCTTCCTGAGAATGATTTAAATTGTTTTGATTGTGGTGTAAAACACCTACCAACCCC